TGTAAAAAAATAATTGCTCTTTACTTGCCTATTTGTGTCAGGTTGCAGTCTCGTTGCACAGCATAGTCCAGCATGGTAGATTCCATTAAAAATGCATAATTGCCTTGAAGCACTTTATTAATTCCTTCTTCATACGATTTGACGAAGACTGTGTTCTTTTTGCTCTCCATAAACCTCCACATTTTCTGGTAGATGCCAATTTTCGAGTCCTAAATACCAATTATAGTAAACAATCAGTAAAAGACGCCTGTTCAGGTTTGTGGGTTTTTCGGTCAATGGACCATGGGCCATGAAAAAACAGTGTTTCATTTTTTGCCGAAAAACGGTCACTAATTAACCACAAGAATAGTAAACAATCTTAACACTAAAAGATCAACTTGTGCCATACCCGAAAAAATGTCATTGTACTTCCTCCTTCTAATGTGCCATAGGCGATTTCAGTTTGTTCAGCCAAGTCCTGAGCGCTTTCAATTGGGGTAATCATGCGTTCCACTGTTAAAAATGCAGCTAGATTTGCCGTATAAGAAGAGATGATAATCAAAGTAAAAAACCACCAGATTCCCCCGACGATTCTTGTTGAAGTTGCCTAGAATTTCATACAAGATAGTTATAATCCACACCATTTCTAGTGCGAATATTAAAAAGCTTCAAGCACAACTTGGCTGTCTTCAATCCAATTGACGAGTAATCTAGAGGTAATCCAACCATGTACAGCCAAAAATTCCCATCTTATGTTAGTTTGTGATCTTTGGATGATTTAGTCGACACCTCAAACCAATTTCGTTTAAAGATCCAAAGGTGGTTCTTGCAGGTGTTGCCGCACTGCATTATTTTTGCACTTAAACTCTCTCAAAAGCTCAAAAGCTTTTGAAGTGAGCGTAACAGAAAAGTTAAAAAACCAGCCTGATTACTTTATTGGAACCATCATCTCCAGTTTTCCAGAGTTATTTAATTATTTGTCTACATTTCAGTTGATTGCCGAAATAACCTGATAGTCAACAATGAGCATTTGCCAATTTGTTGAATATTTTTCAGTTTAATGCTTTCTGGTGGAAATTTTGTCAACCTTTGCTGCTTCCTGCTTATCTTTCCAGTTCCATTTCTGTTCCCAATTTGCTAAACTCTCTTAGTGCAGACCTCCTTCTGCCTTCTTCCCGATCCTTTCTAGTTTTTTTTATCTTAGAAAGATGCGAAGTGCATCTATTGTATTTATGACAAGTTTCGTCTTAGTTAAGGAGGATTATTTGATTAGCGCCAGCTAAAACTGTTCCATTTTCCATAGGTTCCATTATTTGTAAGTAACAGATCTGATCGGATTGATTTTCTAAACTAACACTCCGGTTGAATCTTGCTGTCTGAGGTCCAAGTTCTGATTCTTCTGACCTAAACCGATTAGGGCAACAAAAAGCAGAAAGAGCTCGACTGAATTGCACGTTTTATTTAAGCCCTTGCGGTTCAACTTTTGCTTCAAAAAATGCTCCATTCAAAGTGCAACTGTGGTTTTGGCAAATTAGTGTAGTTTTTGCTCCAGTACTCAGAATCTTTGTCCAAACAACTTAAACATCGGTCTAGCTGCATACTTCTAGCATTGGCTACTGAGTACCTTGGGGTTCAAGTCTGATCCCTGCTGCATCAGACTTCCAATGGCAAACCAGAAACTATTTCCAAGAGTAAACTCGTTCTCCAGCATCTCCAGTGTGGTTACTTCTGAGTGCAAATGTCCGCAGGGCCCTTGATCCAGAAATAACTCCATTTCTCCATTTCTGAGATCTGCGTCATTCTCTACATTAAGAATAGATCATATTTTTATTGCCGATTGTTATGTGGAAATTCCAACCTGTTTCGCAGTTATCGCTCCCGATTCCAGACGATACGTCGCTCTCATTCATCAAATTATGCGCGCATATCTCTTCATCGTATTTTCGTAGAATACATTCATAGCATAGTTCCATTTCTCTCCATTCTTTTGGCGAAAATCTGGCCACTATCCAAATTGTAATGGAAACTATTATATAGGCGCCTGCCATATAGACCCAAATATCGAACGCGAACGGAGTCAGAAAGGAAAAGAAACGTGCATGCATTCTTTGGTATTCCTTAAACAAACCAGTAGTTTACTGCTAGATTTTGGCAAAACTTTGCTGAGATGAAGCAGGTGATCCAAATTAGTAGCGGATAATTTTCTATTGAAGTAGAGTCAGAAAGAGTAGTTTGTGTCCATTGCAGAACCTTGTGTTTTGCACGTTTCTGAACGAAAATCCAAGAAAGTCTGATTAGTTGCTGAAAATGTATACATGCCTGTGAAGAGGAACAGAGTGTTTATGATGGTGCGTAGGACTGGAATCAATGAAGTTTTCTTTATGAAAAATTCAATTTCAGAAGCAGTTGATGCTGAATCGAGAACTTTTAATAAACCCTCAAGTTAACTTGATAGATACACATACGGGCGACATGATTAAAATCACGATTTGTTTACATTTTGCAGGATATTTGCAGGTTCCCAATACAACAGAAAAACCTGAGCATTTCTTGATATGGACTTTGCCAAAACCCATTGCAAATTGCAGACATTATATGTATCAAGTGGGTTTTTCGGGTTTTTTTACATTATATGTATGTTTGAAAAGAATAGTTGGCCTTATTACCTCTAGATTTCCCCATAATCTTTATAGAAAATTCCGTTTGCTATTGCAAAGGCTGCATTAAGACACTTTCAAAATCACTTTTGACTGTTAAAGAAATGTGAACAAAACTCGTCGTTTTTTTTCACACATGCAGCAACTATCCAACACCGTGACGCTTCATGCAATAGCAATTAAGCCAAACCTTTGGATTCAATCCGGAGCCCTGCCTTAAAAACGTTCCGGTGATAAACCAGAAGCTATTCGAAACCGAAAATTGGTTTTCTACAATGTCGGAATCCTGATGACACGGATGGGGGTTGTTCCATTCGTAGGGCGAAAAACGTGCCATCACGAAAAGGGTAAATGAAACTGAGACATAAGCAGCTAAAACGTAAATCCAAATTTCGACGGCTAAAGGGTTCATGAAGCTGAACAGTCTTGTCGGTTGACTGGTTGGAATCTAGAAGAAATTTTCATTAAATTGTATGAATGCCACATATGGAAAGTATGAACTAGCGAAATTAACCCGAAGGATCCTTAATATAATGCTCCCCTAAAAAATAACAGCATGAAACAGAAAATCTTATAATGTAATAAGCAATGTGGTGGCAGGAATATATAACTCGATCTAGTTTTGTTATACGCTTTTATGACTTTCCGTTGTAATGGATTCTTTGGGAAAAGTTGGTTTTTCACGACAATTCCATCGAAAGCGCTGTTTTGCAGGAAAGTTAATTCGGAAAATTCACTTCTTGCGTTACAACGCGACTTTGATTAAATTATGGAAGACGATGTTCATCTTGGTTACTTAATCAACTTATTCCTAATTCTAGTTTCTGTTACTACTGCATTCTGACTGTCTGAGAAACTGACTAGCGGCAAAGGCTATTATTTTCTATTCAAATTTAAAAAGTTTTCAAATTAAATTTTTAATGTTTGAAAAATCTGTTTGTATGTACAATTATTCTTCCAAATTTTAGCTCTAGATTTCTGGTAATTTTTCTAAGCGCTTTGCAATTTAAACTGCTCAACAGAAAAACGTTACGCGGTCAAATTTGCCCTAGTTTCGGAGCTGGATAAATTCTGATTTCTTCAAGCGATTAAAGCGTTCTTTTGTGAWTTTTTTTTCGGTTAGGGAGTGTTTTTGCAACAACATCACTTACATTACTTTCAAACAATCCGTTCATTCATACAGTCTTGTATATCGAATTTTAGMCTTAAGTTGACCATATTCATTCATCATGAGCCGGAAATTGGACAATCGGTCCATAACAAAAATTTMTTTTCAACACATTTACAAGAAAAAAACATTGCCATTTTGAAACCATCTCGAAGCAACAGTTAAATCTCATTTGCTCGTTTAGTGTCCGAATTCAATGCTCTAATATAGAATTGCTACAGATGCTTCGGCTGGCTCACCATTAGTGTGGCACTTTTTCAATGATTTTAGAAGTTGTAGTTCAAAAAAATAGCGCAATCTTAAAGAAAATCCACTTAAGAACTCAAATGAAACGACAGAAAACTTTTAGGTCCTTATGGAAACATAAGTGGAGAAAAAAGTTATTTTTTTTGCTGGGATTTATTTCCATTTAGTTCGCTTTGATAATGTCCATTACCTACAGGTTATAATTAATCCAGTTTAATTTTCAATTAAATTATTTCCCCGATAATTAATGACCGCAATCAGTCATGCTTCTGTTGTATTCTATGATAAAGTTTTCAGTATTCTGATGAAATTCGCATTACAAACAAATTATTATCCATTATCAACTTTATTTCAGAATGTTAACTAATCTGCGTAATTTAGGGCACATTGTTTGGCTGACAAAGTAGGGGACATGTTGAATATAATCAAAGTATTGTATTCAGTAATATTTATTAATGGTATTCAATGCAAAACGAGTTCTTCAGATATAACGGGTTTAACTGCATTTGCTAGTTTCATTTTTTATAAACTTTGCTTCACCAGGATCATCCTAGACAGCGGTAATAAAATATAAAGGAAAAAACTTGGAACAAATTCCAACTAATTATTATTTCTCCACAAGCATTACGATTTAAGTAAACTTTCCTCATCGCTATATTGCTGATACTAAATTTTCCTGTTGGGAGTTTTATGGATCGCATGATTCAAGTGGGCGTCAGCTCCAGGTATGGTAAKATGTGAAAATTGAAGAAATTGTTTTGCACTTTACTGCATGGTGTTGTTCTTGTCACTTGCGATGCCTTCGCCGGAATTTTTCACTAACAGAATTTGCATTACTGAAAGGCATAAAAACGATTTAAAAACCTTGATGACTCTTCTATTGTGCTTACAATTCAGCTTCCAAAACTTTCAACTTTCCTTAAATGACCTACATAGAAGAAACCAAGTCTTTTACGACAAATTAGTCAAATGCCAGAAACTTTGCACGGTTTGGCTGTGCACTGAAACGAAATTTAATTTTGAATCTCTTTTATCCATTTATGCTCACACTAATCCTCGACAAAGTTCAAAAGGCAATGTCGGATCTAATGCAGAGGAATTTTCGTATAAATCAACGTTTTTGCTCTCGGTTTCAATCTCATTTGAAGCGGGAACTTCAACTTAACGTAGAATACGGGCCTCATTTCCAATAAATATTGGCTCGGGCGTTTTTGCTAGCAAGATATAAACTTTAATTTAAGCTAGCAGAACAAGCGAACTTGGAACAGGTAGTGGAAAGTCAAAGTTACTTTTTTTTCCAAACACTTTACATAAACGTCCCGAAAAGTTGATAGGGCTGGTAAGAATTGCATTTATTCAAGTATGTAACGGTGGAACTCTCACAAGTACCGACTGTAAATTTTTAAACATACTTTTATTGATACATTTATTTTAATCTATAAAAACTACTGGCACTCCAATTATATTTTCATCAACATCATTTCAACAGAAGTTATGACTGCCGACGAACAAAATCCAGCATTCAAATGGATTTTATGTTTTTTTATCCTCCCTCATTGGAATATCCTTCGTTACAATTTTCGTATTGTGTATATCAAAAACAACACTTAATTAAAACGAGCGAGAGCTGAAAGCAAAAAGCTACACAGCAAATAAATGATTTATTCGCAGAGGAATATTGTTCTACAAAATCTCCATTTTTCTCACAGTTTTCCTTATTTTTATGCCTGTTAATACGGTACAAACAACGCAACTTGTAAATTCAATTTGCCATCATAAAACAGTCGGCAAAATAACGTTTAAAAAAACATGCTCAAGTCTCGGGAGATGCTTTTGTCACGATGATTTCAAGATCTTTAAATAATCCCATGGGCACTTAAAATTATTATAAATCAGGTAGGAAGTTACTGGGCGACCCCAAAATGTTAAATCTGGTATTTCAATTAGCAGATTGCCATAACGTCGTAGAGCTCCGTACATAATTCATCTGCAAAACTGCGAAAATTAATCCGAAACAAGAGGGAATGTTTAATTTCGACCTTAAAACATTATAAATTCAGCAATACTGGAACGTTAACGCTTTTGAGCGGTCTCATAACCCTTCGTCATTATTATTTGGCGTGGTTTTATAATTCAAGTGGCCCTCGAGAGACGAAACAATTTTAAAACTAACGCCGTTTTGCGGAAATTTATCGCTACCTGTTTAGCAAATTGTCCGGATCTGTTTGTTTATCGTTGGTGATGAATTTTTCACATCGTGGTTCGTGTCTAAAACATCTATGGAGATTTGTTTCGACAATTTATAGATTTTCGCAGTTGTCAAATTCTCGAACTCCTAATGAGAATTTCACTAGGGAGCAACAATGTCGCAGAAAGTTGAAGCTGTAAACAGAGAAATTTTGATAAAAATCGCCTAATAATAAACAGTCTACTAGTGAACGATTCCAGACGACAAAAGCGCGCTCTTCTGAAAAATGTCGCGACTACTAAGAGCAAATTCGAACTTGAAAGTTTAACACAACAGATAAGACAGTTGATTCTGCAAATTGAGAAACTTTCATTTAAATTGCACCTAATCCTGAATTTTTTTCGGCTCTATGAGCTCGAGTCTAAGAACCAACGTTTCCAGCCAAAAGTGCGCTCATTTGAAAATTGCATAACGACGAATAAAGAGAAACTGAGAACTTAGAAGTTTCGGCAAATATCGCCGAAGGTTGAAGCTGAAATTCTAAAAACGTTTATGAAAATCGTAAAAAAATTTGATTTTTTCTGCTGTCCAAACTTGCGTGTAATCCACTTGCAACTTGCAACAAATTGCAACAAAATGCAAACTTGCGCACAACAAATAGAACAGTTGATTCTGCGAATTGAGAAACTTATGTAGAAATCGCACTTAATTTTGATTTTTTCTGCTCTATGAACTCGAGCCAA